TGGTACTTGCTTTGTGTTAAGAAGAATGGCGTTTTGTATCCAGCAGTAAAATGCCTTTTTCTCCGGCCAAAAGTGCCTCAAAACAGGCGGTAAAAGGTAATACGACGTAGCGTTGAAATGCTCTCGCACTGCTATTGTTGGCGAATGCGCGCTAAAAAGTCAGTGCAGCTACTGATCATGTCGAATTTGTTGTTGGACAATGGCATTCTGTGATCTAACGCCCTGTCTTGTAACTGGGGACCATTGTTCTCAACAAGCCGCCTATAAGGTAAGTCTGTTCCCAATGGTTTTCCGTTCTGAGTCCATGAATACTCCAGTTGCACTTACTACAGTTCAAGGCTGTCGGGGTGAGAAGCATAGGATCAGGTTAGTTAGTCCCGTAGCGGATATGGATCACGGGAGAGCCAAGCAATCTTATCACCGAACACATAACACTGTCGCCACCCCCTAGGGCAGCCTTGTGTTGCCTGCCCAAGAGGAAAGAAAACAGCTGCACGACCCCTTTAAAAAAGAGAGGACTTCTTGTAGGGGAAACAACAGCATTCATCATACGGATGTCTGTTGTTATATAAACTGAGTTTCAATATCGAAACGCTCCTCCCAATTTAGCGTTTAGAAAGCAAACATTGCTTGACTCTCACTGCAGAACCACTCATGACCACAGTGCCTTTCGCCATAATGATTGCATTATCAGTCTAAGATCTATTTGATTTTCTCTGCGCTCGACTGTCGATCCGCTAGCTGTATATAGAAAGTACCAGTCGGATCGCCCGGCTGACGCCGAGCTCTCCTCCTTCTCTCTAGCTCGGCTTCGCCGAGCTGGCCTGGCTTCGCCAGGCGCGCTCCATAATGGGGAACGGAACTCTTCCAATCGCTGCGTTGCTCATACAGCTCTGTATTGGTACAACCATAACAGCTAGAGCAACCCTGCGGATCCTGCGTTCCATAGTAAACGCTTATACTTGCGGTCCGCGATATAACGGCCATACAACACACAGACAGGGTACGGCATCCTTTTGTGTGAACACATTGGGGTTCTGGTTTTTTGCTTGCTGGGGAGGGGGCGTCGTAGGAAAAGTGGCGGGATAATTATAATTCCGTATTAATTTTTTTTGTTTTATTATGCCGTTATTTACTGTTTTTTTGTTTTATGTTATGCACTATATGCCATTTTGTCACGGCCCATGGGATTATACGTTGCCATGATTATTGGATGACATGGCCTCTTATCCTTTCTTATCGATTGATAGATCCTCGTCACCGCCGGTCATCAATGTCCCTATTACTAAAACTCTATAATTTGGTAGTGTAAAGGCTCCAGCAATTTGACTGAACAGCATTGGCAACCTTCTTTATCAGCCCCTATCAGCTGTTATCACCTCACGTGCCGTGTCCCCATCTCCAACTCTATATCATTTTCTGAAATGCCTAGCTGATGCTGTGTTCCGCGTTATGGACCTTGCCATTCTAACCCTCCTTATCAAATCCTATCAGCTGCTGTCATTTCCCTGTCACCCCGTCAATAATTTCCTGTGTCACGTCCTATATCATACCTTAGAACCAACTGTCCCATTGTTACTGGGTCCCGCACTATGGACTTGGTCTCCCTCCCCTTCTGACGCCTCTTGACGGATCTTATCAGCTGCTATCATTCCCTGTCACCCATCAATAATGTTCCTGTCCCACGTCCTATATCATACCTTGGAACCAATGCCCCACTGTTACTGTGTCCCACACTATGGGCTCGCTCACCCTCCCTTTCTAAGGCCCCTTATCGAATCTTATCAGGTGCTATCACATTCTATCACCCACCAAAAGTGTTCCCGTCCTGCCATGTATGTCACTCCTTGGAACTGTCTTCCTATCTTTTCTGCGACGCTCGCTATGAATTTCGTGACACACAGACAGACGCACACACACAAACATACACACACACACACACACACACACACACACACACACACACTTACAGACATACTTAGCCGATTATATAGAGTAGGATAGCTCCACACCCAATAAAGCCAGAACTTGGATGTTGTTCTTCCATCTTCTTTCTTCGCCTCCTTGCTGTTAAAAATCAATCATCTCAATTTGAATATTCTCAAGAAAAACGCATTTTCGTAACGCCATCGCTCTTCAAATCTGGGTGAGAACGAATGAAAGCCGATGGGATCTCTTCCTCGAATACACGTTTAATTTGTCTACGGACATTTGATCTGCTTTTTTTGATGTTTCCTTTGAACTTGTGACTTCTTACGCTACACCACAGTACTCAACAGCAACAGCAATGTTGGTTCATTCAGTTTTCTGCTCTCCAAAAGTGACCAAGGAATAAGTGACTATCGGAGACCTCATACCTTTTTACGGTTTTTTTCGAATGATAATTTAGTCTTACGGACTCATGTTGTTTGTGATGATTTTCGTTTCTCTGTTTAGTGATCCATGTGCATGTTTACATATACTACCGAAATGAACTAAAAAGTGAGAATTCCACTTAATCGCTCCCTATCATTCCCAATATCGACTTCAAAGGCAAATCCCCGAATCCTCGCGTCGATATCCTGGCCGCAGAGATCCACAAAGGTTACCAGCCTCTAGTGAGCGACGCACTCTTCTTTTCCGTCGGTTGTTCTGCTAAGAAAGCACCTCTAAAGATAATTGTCGTCATGTCGAGATTGATGGAGAATCAATCATTGAGTGTTCTCAAAATGGTATCAAAATCACAATAGCAAACTCCGCGAAAGTAAGCGATCTCAGTTTCTATATGGTTGGCGAGAGACTGTCCATACTGTTTTTAAAACTAAGTTTCTTTTTTATTATATGAAAATAAGTATAAGATCAAATATATGCAGAATTGTTATTGCGGGGTTCCTGCTAGTTTTGACCACCACGTTCACCTCAAGGATGCCATCCATCTCTTTGCAATGCAGGCCGACCCGACACGGAGTGAACATCATCTGGATTTCGACTTGGGCTTGAGTCGTGGAGCTTTCTTCATCTATGTAACGAGTTATTTCGGAAGACAACTGGTAGCTGGAGTAAGCGATGTCTTTGCTACACTGGTGCAAAGCAAGAGTCATCCAGCTCTATTACTTCTGGTTCGATTCGACCTGTTCTAAAGGGTATGGGCTGCACTGTTATGTTGAAGGCAGACTGGCTCGTGGAAGCTTTACGATGATCGCATCATCCTTATGCAGCTAGTTTATTCTGGTCTCAGCTGCTCTCATGCTCAAGCCAGAGTGGTATAAGAGAAAAGGAGACGGTGTTTAGGGCCACGCGACGTCGCAATCTGCAAACAGCGTGGGCTTCCAATGGAGCACACGGTCGCGGTGAACTTGCGTCCTTGAATACGATTGTATACGCTTCAGCACTGGTAGAACCTTGATTGTAGTGGACTACTTAGCAATCATGGTGCAAAGAAACCTGTACAGATACCACTACCGAGTTAATTTAGCTGATCTCCTGATCCATTTGAGTGTCACAATGCTTTCTGGGCAGCATATCTCAGAGATTAGACTTATTGTCACTTGGTTGAGGTACGGCGGACTATTCCTTATTTTATTGAAAAAAATAGCAGCAAAAGATCACTGTCGCGATGAAAAAACATCGCGAGCGCGCCCGTCGTAACTATATGGTATTTGCAATTATCGCGCGCGACGCCGTGTGCTGTAACATACCCGAAGAGTTTGAAGGGGTTCGAGGGTCTGTGCAGGCGGCACGAAACACAATCTTGTCCATATTGCAAAAGAACTTGCAGACAAGTGAGTGCTTCTAATAGGAAGAGTATTCCGTAGGTACACTCCTTATCCCTGAGCCAGAGTAGGCGTGGCATTTGAACATGGCACGGAACTGGTTACTCGTGGAATATTCCAGTCTGGGACAACTGTCATCTTGTTCTGTGTTGGACAGAGACACGACAACAATTGTGTCAAAGGTGCAAACATCTATTGGGTTGGCACATAAGTACTTTCGTTTTTTTTTCAACCGGAAATTTCGTTTCA